GATGGGTCATGATGCAACATTATTGATCGCCAATCATACTCAATTAAAGCAGAACTGTTGCTCAGTCCTTACTTTTAGTGAGGCGTGGCGTCCAGTTAGCGTCCATTGTGCGGCGCGCGGCCCGCACTCTGTGGCTGTGCTGGCCTGATGGAGCCGGTCTGACCCAGGCTCTAACCCGACTGACCCTGGCGTGCCCCCGCCGCCGCCAAAGGGCGGTGAGACGATCAAGCAGCTGCAGGACAACAGCGGCTCCAAGATGGTGGTGGTGCAGGACGGCATATACGCCAGCGCGCCCGAGAAGCCGCTGCGCATTACCGGCGACCTCAAACAGATCGAGGTCAGTCCGGCTCGGGCTGGCCTTGGACTGGGCGCTGGGTTCGATCCCGGTTGCAGGGGGCTTTCACGGACCAGAGGCTCCGTGGCGACGCCGGCAATGTTGGGATTTTCGTTTGACGATGTGTGATTAAGACGTCAATGCGTAGACTCGTTGGGAACACGTCGACCCGTGATCATTTTTGAGACTGCGTTGATCCGTGATACGGTCCTGCTGACTAGCCCTCCTAGTGGTGGGTGGCAATGGGGGTGGGGGAGGGCGGCGTCCGGACCTGTCGGCCGGGCACAACCCCGGCCCGGTCGGCGGTCCGCCAGGCGCCACAGCACCGGCAGGATTCGCTAACGCCACAAGCCGCCCGGCGGCCGGGAGTGGAGTTTGATAGTAGCCTCGCCGGGACTGGGACGACGAGTCGTGACTGGTGTGTTGACACCAGACATCTGCCGCGCTCTCCGCCGCTGTAGCGCTGCAGCAGCCGCCGGCGTCCAAGGCGGAGCGGCGCCGGTCAGATCGCGGCGATCGGACCCGCCCGTGCCCGGCCCCGCCGTGGCAGAGGCCGCCACCGGAATTGCATTGGAGGCTTGCACCGCCGGATCACCGCCGGTCGCTATCGGGGGTGTTTGCCGCTCTGAGTCAGCTGCTATCCGCAGGACTCGTCCCCCCTCCCCTCCCCTCCCCCCCCCCCTCCGCTGTCCCGTCGGGCGGCGGCCGGGCTCGGCCGATCGTCCCACCGCTATCAGGCCGGCCTGGTTGCCGGCCGTGGCCGACGGGCCGGGCACCAGACGCATCTGCAACCCCGATTATCACCAGTCCTGTCTGCGAGTTTTCTCCCCGACGCCTGTCAAGCCACGAGACGCGGTGCAGCCTCGTAACGCGCCGCACACCTCCACAGCGCGCCAAGCAGCTGGTGTTCGACCTGATGGCCGAGAAGGACAACTACGGCCCTGGCGGGTGGCGGCGGCGGCGGCGGGCGGGGGCGGCGGGCGGCGGCCCGCAGGGCGGCTACGGCCGCGGCTACGGGCAGCAGCTCGCAGGAGGTACGTGCCGGCGGCGAGGCGCGCGGGCCGCGGCGCGGCGCCGTCACGTGATGCTGGCGCTGACAGGCGGCCCGGCCAGGTGTGGACATTGGCGAGGAGAGCGGAGAAGACTGGTGACGAAAGCGGTTGTCGGTGTGCGCTAGCGCTGCGGTCGGCGCGTTCTACGCGCGACAGTAGTCAGCGCGCCTGGCAGTCGCACGTGGTGTACCTGCTTTTATTGAAAAGTGTGCGAAACGCCCCAAAGGAAGGTAACTGTCGTGCAGCGGACCAAGTTCCCACTGGAGCGATAACTGGATAAAGCGATAACTGGGTCTATGGACGGGAATGTTCAGGACTGTATTTTGACCATAAGCGTGGTCATGGCTTGGAGGCCCAGCCCGGACGGCTTGGCGTTTCGACGCTGAGCAGGACTGCAATTCATTTTTTTCAATGAGTTGTCATCGGGGTTCCGTGCCGTCTGCGATCGCTCTTGACGCAGCGCCGGCCAGCTGCGCCGCAGCCAACGTTGCGAGGGAGCGGTCCAGCGGGGCGGCCGCCGGCGATGGCCGAGGTTCCCCGGTTAGCGTGTAAAGGTCGCGACGGCCGGCTGCCGGCCCAATCCGCTGGTCGCCGAGGCAGCCTATCTGTGCGCGGGGACTGCCGAGCGGCGGGGCTTCCCAGTCGCGAGCACTAGCCGGAATCATTCGCAAGCTCTGTGTGGCGTCCGCCGCCGCCATTGATAATGGAATGGAGTGGCCAGGAAGGTGTCACCGTATCGTGCGCAGAGTGAGCACCACCCCAGCGGTCATTGTAGCTCACATACTTCATACCGGGTCCTGTGCCCTTCTCACACTACACTACGGTGTATCTAGTAGCCCGGCTCGGTAGCGGAAGATGTTGATGTTGAATTGAGCACCTCCGGCGCGTACAGTCGACGGGCCGGTCGATGGCTTGTTGAGGTCATCGGGTACGTGCGGGGGCGGACTGGGGCCCCGTCCAGGGAACACCGGCTAGTGCCACAGCTGCTGGCAAAGGCGATGCCACCCGGGCCTGGTGCGGGGCTATCGTGCGGGCCCCGTTACAATGACTCGGGCGAGGTGCACGGGTACAGTTTTGTACTTGGGTCGCTGGTCCGTTACATTCGGGCGAAACGGCGTGGGTGGCGTTCGTTTTGTTTTTCGCGTCGGCTAGCAGAAAATAGAGCCAGATTTCTGCTTTTACAAGACTTCTGGTACTCTACCCCTGCGACATAGCCGTGGTGGAACTCGCTGGTGCTCAGACTTTCAACTGAACGCCGGAAATACCATCACTACACTGCACGGCGTCGGGTCCGCGGCATGTGCCGGCGCAGTGTAAACAGCCGCGCGCCGCAGCCGGGCGCGGACGTCGCTGTGCCCATGACGTGGGCCGGTCTCCGAAACATCTGTCTGAAGTGATCGAGCCCCGTCGCGAAGTTCGCAGCGTGCCGTGCGTCATGGCCGCGCCGCCCGACGCTCTGACTCACCGGGGCCCGTGGGCGTCTGTTTGTCAGCTGCGATAACGTCGGTGGCGGCGGCCGTGGCCCGCGTCGCGCGCGCCTCGCTGACGCCGGCGTGGCGCGCCGCCAGGTGACGGTGCCGCAGGCGGCCGTCGGCGTCGTCATCGGCAAGGGCGGCGAGATGATCAAGAAGGTGCAGAACGACACGGGCCGCCAACATTCAGTTCCAGCAGTAACATCCAGCGGCCGCAACGAGCGGCTGGCGACAGTGACGTGGCACGCCCGACCAGATCGAGCACGCCAAGGTCATCATCCAGGAGCTGATCGAGAGCGTGATGAAGCGCGACCAGATGGGGCGGGCCGCGGCTGCGGCGGCGGCTGGGGGCGGCGGCGGCTACGGCCGCGCCCCGGCGGGCCCATGGGCCGCGACGGGCAAACAGGAGGTGAGCTGCCCCCCGCCGGCCGGCCGGTGTGGCCTTCCGCATCGACAGGGGGGGGGGAGGGGGGGAGGGGGGGGACGGCCAGGGGCAGTGTGCTGACTGGCGCGCGCTGCGAGCGCCGGCCGCTGGCCAACCCTGATGAGACGTCCGTGTTCAAGGGCAGCTCCGGCCTAGTGACGCCACGCGCGGTGGCTCATCTGCCCGCGAGTGGACGCTGCCTGTGCCGGCGGCTCGGTAGCACGCTCGCGCCGTGCGGTGGCCGCCGCGGTTGCTGCGGCGGCGTCTGGTCTGCGCGTGTCTCGTTCGTGCGCGCGTGTGTCGCCGCGGCGGCAGCTGTGCCACGCCCTCCGCTGACGCCCGCCGTGTGGTTTCAGCCATGCGGTCCCGGCGGCCCGGGCGGTCCGTTCGGCGGTCCCGGCGGTCCCGGCGGCCCGGGACCGGGCGGACCGGGCGGCCCCTACCGCCGCAGGGCTGGGGCAACAACTTCCACAACCCGGGCGTGTGGGGCCAGCAGCAGAACGACCCCCGGTAAACAGGACGGCGGCTGGAACAGCTACTACGCCCAGTACTACGGCGGCCAGGGCGGCCAGGCGCCCGGCGGCCCCGGCCCCGGTCCCGGCCCCGGCCCGCAGCCGCAGGCAGCGCCAGGTCAGTCTGGGCGGCCGCGGCGCGGCGCGCGCACTCGCATACCCGTAGCGTAGCTCCAGGGCGGGGGCGGGGTACGAACTAGCGGGCTCGGCGCGGTTGTCACGAGGTCGTGCGACGAGGCTGGACGGGCGGTGTCGGGTGTGGGCTGGCGGTCCCGGGCGCGCCACCGGCACTCTTGGGACGGGCGCCGCTATCTTCACCATATGGCACCGGCGAGAGGGGGGGGGGGGGGGGGGGGGGTAACCGCGTCTGCGTTGACCACTGCGCGTCTGGGAAACCAGAGGTACGGGGTTCGCTTCCCCGCGGTGTCCGCCTTCCTGCTGGGGTGAGGGGCAGGGGACGCCATATAGCCTCAGCAGCTGAGTGCGTCGTAAAGCCCCAATGACGCGGGTGGTAAGGGGGGGGGGGGGGGGGGGGTCCGCCTGGCGGCGGTGACCGGTGCGCAAGATCACTTAAGGGGAGATAAATGAGGCATTCGGACATGAAAGGCATTATACTGACTGGTTGATTAAGAATATTCATTAATGCGCTGACTGGTTGCCGCTGTCGCCGCACCGAACGTGCAGTTCAAACTGCAAAACACGGGGTTTAATTACCCGCCCAGAGCTCCATGCGTGCACATCGAAAGCACGACTCGGGCCCCGACGATTGTTCATGGGGGGTTGCAATAGGGGAGGTGGTATATGTGAGAACGGCACCTACCTCGTCACACAAGGTCAGTGCCCGAGTCCGACCCCCCCACCCGAGTGCGGCCACCTCTCAGGTCAGTCGAGACAAATGTCATCTGCTCCGTTTGATTCGTCAAATGTTCTGCTGCAACGCAGCCGTCATCTCAGTGACGACAACTTGTTAAGTTCGTAATGTATGGCACGGTGCTGGTCACGCTGCTGCACATCTGGCTTTCCGCGCGTATTTTGTTTTCGCGTCACAGCAGTTCAGTTGAAATAGACAGGTACTTGCGAAATGGACAGCCAGGCGACGCGAGGTTCTGTTGCATCCAGACGAAGCTGGGCTGGCCGTCACGTTTGTTTGCCGTTTCGTGCCAGGTTGTGGAGTTGCTCACCTGAGTGGCACATAACCAGATAATCTCGTTGTCGAACTCTCGGACCAGTCGTTCATTCCAGCCAGCCCGCCGGCTAACATTCTACACCCGCCGCCCCCCCGCGCCTCCCCTCCCCCCCCCCCCCCCACCCCGCCCGCAGTTGCGCCCGTGCCTCCCCGCGTTTTCGGCTCCTGCCTGCTCAGCCCGTCTGACGGCGCCGCGCCGGTTCGCAGGCAACGCGCCCGGCATGAACCCCGGCGGCGGCCAGGACTTCAGCGCCCAGTGGGCCGAGTACTACCGCAACATGGGCATGATCCGCGAGGCTGAGGCCATCGAGCAGCAGAGCAAGGCCAACAAGGCGGCGGCCGGCGGCGGCGGCGCGCAGCCGGCGGCCGCGCAGCCGGCGGCGGCTCAGCCGGCCGCCAACGGCGCGCAGGCCGACTACAGCGCTCAGTGGCTGGAGTACTACCGCTCTCAGGGCCTGATGGCCGAGGCCGAGAAGCTCGAGCAACAGATGAAGAGCAGCAAGGTGAGGGGCGGGTGCTCGAATCTCACCGCGGGACTTTTTTGCTGCGGGATGGGATTCCGTCGTGGTGTCGGCGCTGACCACGTGGGTCGAGAGGTCATTTTTCTGACTCGCCGCGAAGTGAGGGCTGTAATTGGTGGGTGCGAGGGCCAGTGTTATGTGGAAGCATGTTAACACGCTATGTACGCTAATGTACCGGTTAAGTACCCAGTTTCCTAGCTCAAAGCACTGAGACGCCATCGTCGAATCCTGGTGAGTGGCGAGCGTGGCGTCGTAGTGCTAACCGGCCGCCGCTGTCTGCGTCGCCAGCAGCAGCAGCAGCAGCAGCAGCCACAGTCGCAGGCGCCGACGCCGGCCAGCGGCGGCGGCGCGCCCGGTGGCTACGGCCAGCCGCAGCAGTACAACTTCGGCGGCGGCTACGGCGGCGGCGGCGCTCCGGGCGGCTATGGCCAGTACGGCGGCTACCCGGGCTCGGGCGACAACTAGCCGCGCCCGCCAGCTCCGGCCCTGTCCATCATTGTCTCGGTGAGTGGCGGCGCTGCGGCCGCGCGCGCGCACACGCACGCAGCGTAACGTAACGACCGCCGCCGGGGCGCCAGCGTGCCGCCGGCCGTCGGCCGCAGTAACGTCAGGCCGTCGGGGGCCGCGAGAGCTGGAGCGCAGTGTGTGTGTGACGTGACGTGGTGTGCTGTGCCATGTGGTGTGTGGCGCGGCGGCGGCACAGGAGACGGCACGGCCAGCGACCCGGCGCCGGCCGAGGACGCCGCAGCGCGCCGGTAAGTGCGCCGCCCGCCCACCTAACCCGTGCGCCTCTTCCAGGGTGGCCGCGCCGGGGCGGCGCTCTGCTATAAACACTGTTCGGTCTTTTTCAGATATGCCAGGTGTAGCCCATTCAATGCGTAAATTGTCTGCCGGTTGCGTTGTTCGTCGTTCGTCTTGTGTGATTGCCGCGCCACTTTGTGCTCTGCGCGCCGCCGGAGCCGAGCTGCGCTGGACGACGCCCGCCCGGGCGCCTTGCTCAAGGCAGCGCCGCCGGACTGACCGTGTGTGTGTGTCGTGCACCCCGCCGCTGCCGGTGTCGAGCTGCATCGGTCACTCGCTCTTTCTCTCTCTCTCTTCTAATCTGTGCAGCGCGTGCGATGTGATGACACGTGTAGTGCTCGACCTGCCATGGTGTCCGGTGTTCACGGGGCCGCCGCCGGCGCCGGCGCGCGCGAGGGGGGCGAGACGTTCTCGGCGAGGGCTGGACAGCGTGGTTGTCGGGTGCCAAACGCTCGTTTAGAACTTGACGTGATCTCTCGATTGTCGTGCCGCTGAAATTGCCATGCCGCCTCGTGCACTCGCGTCCGTCGCCTAACTTGTCTCTCCTGTTCGCCGCCTGGGGGGTTGACCGATGCACGTTATGACGCCGCAAATTGACCCAGTCGCATTGTCCCTCGCGGGAGGGGAGAGACAGAGAGGGGGGGGGGGGGGGGGGAGTCGTCAGCGAACGTCACCCGGAATCTGGGGTCCACTCCGTCACGCACGTGTGGTGTTTCGTTTCGCCTGTCCCGTCTCGCTAGGGGCGCGGCCGTGAGGACCGAGGAGCTCTGCCACAGGTACGGAACCGACCTCTCCGTAGGAGCAACTGGCCTCATCCGACTTAGGCAGGCATTGGGTCGTCGCCAGTCGACTCCAGCGGTCGTAGTGGGAGTAGTGCTGTTCGCGACCTTCGGGACAGGGGTGGGCGGAGTAGACGGGTGTGGCCGGCGGGTGCCCTCTGACCTCGCAGTTCGCTCAGGGAGGCTCCGCTTGTGCGCCGCCAATGCCTTCGCCTCGTCAGCGCCCTGGTATCCGCTGTCCGCGGGTGACTGTGCTGCCCCTGGCCCGGTCCTGGCGTGTGACCCGACGTGCGGTGGCCCCGGCTGACCCGCTAACCGACTCGTGGTCTGGTCTGGTCTGTTCGCCTGCTCTCGTTCTCCCCTCGGCCTGAGCGGCGTGGCTCTGTCTGGCTGGCCCGCGGCCGTGCGGAGCGGCGGACGCCTCGCGGCCGGGCGGTTTGGCAGGCGCGCGCCCGGCCGGCCGGCCCTCCCTTCAGGAACCCCGCGCTGCGACACAGGCGCACGCGCCAGGTAAAGCACCCGACCGGACCGTACCCTGTCCCGCCGTATGCTCCGTACTTTGACGTACCGTGACTGCTACTGACGTGGGGTGAAAATGACTCGCCTGGCACCTGGCAACCACGCTTCTGGGCAGGGGTGATTTTGTAAGGCTCTAGGTCGGGTCGTCGCAGGTATTCAAGTGTCTGTGCGTTTGCGTTGAATCAGTGTAACAACCACATAGTCACCTCCATCCCTGCGCGTTGTGTTTTTGGACTGGTTTATTTTGTGTCTTTCATTCTAAAGTTGTTTGCCCTGTTTTGTTGGTGCGGCCTTGTCAAAGTGCGGGATGGGTCCTGCGTCTGAAAACCGAGAACGGCGTTTCGTAAATAAAGCTCCCTCATGATCGATGTTGTTTTCATGGCGGCTCCGGCGCGCGGCCCACCACGTACATGATGTGCATTGCTTCTGGCGAATACACGTGCTCTGTAGCGATGCTTGTGTTTGGTGACCCGCACTGTGACGCGACCTGGAGACAGGCCGTCTGTGCGGAAGGACAATACATGCACTATTGCAGCGGTTTTTGTTTTGTTGAGAGTTCGGCTGCGGGGAGGGATGTGCAGCGAGCACCGCGAAGGACGCGTCTTCGGACTACTACGAGCCAGCTCTCGCGACTGATTCCACTAGGCAATGAACATTTTGTCGCGTTTGTGTGAAGGCGTGGAATTCGATAACCAGGTCCAACCGCAGATTTAGCGACGGGGATGCAATGTCCGAAAGCCAACATGAAGGGCGCTTCAAAGTGTGAAAATGTGCGGGACGGTTGACGTGTGACAAAGAAATCAACCGCGTGTATCGGCCATATGGCCCGGGGTAAGTGAGGAGTCCGTTTAAGAATACACTAGTGTGAGTGATGCGGTCATAATAATCTCTGAGCGGGCCTCCTCGTAGTGCCCGAACAAGTTCGCCGCGCTGTGGCTGAGGGCCGTGCCGCCGCCAAATTTACTTGATCTCCGTGCACCCATGAGCGGGAGGGCGGATTGCGGAAAGTCGTCCTAGGTTTGCTGCCGGGATATTTCGGTCAAGTCTGCCGGGAGAATTGCGGCGGTGTGTGAAACACCGATTGGTCGATATTGCGCATTTGACCCGCCGGGTCGGATGGAGGCTCTTGTGCTGTCGCGGCCTGGGATAGAGTGCACACCACGTAGTTTTGGACGACACATGTACCTGGTGTGTTCCGCTGCAGTCTTCCACGCATTTGCACGCGACTCATTCCTCCGGGCTCACGCTGCCTGCAACGTTGCGGCGACACCCAATTTCATTTTCACGCCCGAAGAACGCTGGGAAGCACTCGATTTGCACGTTGAAGACGTAGAAGCGTGTGTGGAAACTGTTTGATAATTTCGCGGGCCTCAGGACTTTGACTGCCACCTGACCGAACTAATCACGACGGCCCGTAAAACGTGTAACGCGACTAGTGGACATGACCGCATGGAAACACTGGTTCGACGTTAGCAGTGTACTCCCACTCAGCAATTGAAAGTTCGGAATGGGCATACGAATTACGTGAGAGATTACGTAGAAATTACAAACCGTAGGCTCGTGAGGCGCAGTTTATCTGATAAATGTCTTGCAGAAAGCCTGGGCGCGGTGCCTCCGCCAACGTCACCACACAACCGGCCGGCAAGCACACGGTCCACCCGTGCGAACAGTCCACCATCAGATTCGTGGGTTCCGTTGAACCAACCAGACTGGGGACAGCTAGCGACTAGGCGTGCCATTTGTGGGTAAGCAGTGAGCCTTATGAATCATGCACTGACACCTGGCTCCCAAACTTAACATTTGGAGGCATTTCCTAGCAGCGATCCACCCGTTTGCGTGGGTTCTGGCTCGGCTACCGGTGACAGCGACTGGCGCTCTTTCCGCGTGCCGCGGGAATGCAGTGGGATTTGGTTTTCGTGATCTAAACCGCATCAGGAACGTGCGCGCGGTCGTCGGCCCTCCGCAAACATCCGCGCAGTCTCATCTCCACCGCCGCCAGCCCTGTATTACGCACTCCACGCGCCGCAGCAGGAGACGGCACCGCCCGCGCGTCTGTGCGACACAAGTCAGCCGGACGCCGGCCATGCGACTGCTCTCCCCACATCCGGGCGCGTCCGACCGCGCCCCGCCCGACTCGCGGCGCGTCGCCGCGCGCGCTCACGTGGTCACAACCTCCACGACGGCGGCGGCGCGGAACGGCTCGTCGTTCTCGGGGCAGACGCGGGCGTGGTTCTGCAGCGACTGTCTGCTGGAGAGCCGCTTGCCGCACAGCTGGCAGCGGAACGGCTTGTGGCCGGTGTGCGAGGCCTGGTGGCGGCGCAGCCTGAACGTGCTGGAGAGCACGAGGCCGCACCGCTCGCAGGTGAACGCCGCCGGCCGCCGGTGCACCAGGGTCTTGTGGCGCGCTTTCCTCAGCTGCCGGGAGCGGGCGGTGCGGGTCAAGTGGGGTTGATGTGGGGTCAGGTACAGGCGGGCCTCCTGACGATGGGTTATCTTGATATAGAGACGACCTCAGAGTGGTCAAGCTGTTCTACTACGGCGCTACATGTGCACGGTCCAGATGTCACAAGATGATTACATGACACTTTGCGGTGGCGTTTAATCGGCCATAGAAAACAACTGAGTTATATCATGAAACTACAGGTCCCGGGTAACAAGGACTCTGGGTTGGTTTAGCCGACTGGCGGACTTCTTCAGAATCATGGCCAAGACATTCTTACCGCGTGTTTCGTAAACCCGAAGACCCTCTGTATTTGTTGCTGTTCCTCAGCTGCGTTTGAACCGCTACCAAAAAGAGATTTCGAGCCATGCCGCGGGCGACCGCAATGAATCGCAACATCAACATTCATTTTCTCACGCTGGCCAAGCGCGTGCGCGCCCCAGGAACACGGACAAAACCAATAACGCAGGGCAAAAGAGCGGCGCAGGATGCTGAAATGTCCCAGTCAGTAACGGCATTCACCCAGCAGAGGCCACCACACCCTCACCCACCAGGCTGGTGAACTCTGCATTACAGATGTTGCAGCGGTGACGGCGGCCTCCGTGCGAATCCAGGTGGTTGAAGTAGCGGCTGCTCGAGTAGGCGCGGTAGCCGCACGTGGCGCACACGTGCAGCGGCAGCTGCAGGTGCACGCGCAGATGGTCGGTGGCCGTGCGGAACGTGCGCGTGTGGAACGTGCACAGGCCGCAGCGCAGAAAGCGGCGCTCGTGGGTCTCGAGGTGCGCCTGCATAGTGTCGGCGTCCCTGCTCCTGCGTCATCGGGGGGCCAGCGTCAGTAGCTGGACATAACTCGCGTCACGCGCCGAGCGGTTTCTCCGGCGCCCAGTCACTGCTGTCTTGCGCCACACGTCGTGCCCTGTACCCCCTGTTGCGCCAGAGTGGCGCAGACTCCAGTAGCTGCACATAACACCGCAGCGGACTAACCTTTCAAGCCAGCGCCGGCCGGACGCGCCCGGGCGCCGGCTTCTGCCATTGATGCCGGGGTCACCGCCCGTAACCAGCGTAAACAGTAGATGAACATAGCATTCGACGAGATTCTCCAGATATTTCTATCCCCACGAAACATGCCGACAACTCACGTACACTGCACGCGTGAGAGCGATGACATGGCTGAGATGGGCGCCATACGATCAATCAGCTGGCGCGCCTAAAAGCCCCAATCATCGCGGCGTGGCTGGAGAACTCCGCGTGGTACCCAGCGGTCAGCGATCATTTTCGGGTACAAGTGGCAACAAACTCTCAGACTCTTCACCTTGCCTATAGGTTGGGAAAGCTAAGACGCCAAACCCGGGCCAAAGTCGTAAAACCGAACTGCGACCCAGGGACATATTCAAATAGCGCCAAAAGTCTCCACCACTAAAGACGAAGTTTTATTAATACGGCTGGAACGTAATTCGTGCGTCCGTTCTACATATTATTTAAGAACCAAGACCTGAAAAGCAACGAACCGACAGTGTGCCCAAATTCAAAAATTTGTGAGGGAAATGAGCGCTTTGGGGACGATTTCTGTTTCTCAGTGTAAGACTCTTCGAAGTATCCGCCCTTTTCATAAAAAGGTAGAATTGAAAAGACGATAATATTAGCCTTATTCATCGGAGCAAAATCAGGAGGACGGAGATACAGTTGGATTGATATTTCGGCGACATGCCTTTATCGAAATGATAGCAGGAAATTTCTGCTAAACATATATCTCCATTCCCCTGGTTTTTCTTCGAAGAATAAGGCTAATACTACCGTTCTATTTATGTGGATAATGCTCCTCGCTAATGCACTGAACAAGTTACGTAAAAGGTAGAATTATTCGTTTGTTTTGACTCCTTCAGCTTTTGGCGAACGACATTTCTATTTCGATAAAACTTTTGCTGAATGGATTGCGACACACGATCCCTACCCGGTGGACCTGCACGATGTACGTGCGCTTAAACAGCGCGATGATCTGCGGACTAAAAGTATCGGTTTATGGCAATGGCGCAAGTTCAGAGAGCCGGACACACCCTGCATGACATAGACATGGTCCAGGCCTGACAGAAGTCGCAACATGTCGCAACCGTCGCCAATCCAAAACCGCGGCTCGAAAGTTGACATCGTGCACCGCCGCCGCGTTACCTGACCGTTCCAATAGCGCTCGTGTCGGCTTTGTGGGACGGGAGTAGTAACATTCACCCGACCACCCAGCGAACGGAGGGCGAGTGAAAGACTGACTTAACCATCGGTGCCCTTGTCGCCCCCCCCCCCCCCCCTAACACCGTCAGCGTCCACCCACCTGAAGTTGGGACACCAGTTGCAAGCGAACTTGTACTCAGTGTAGTGCACGCGCAGATGGCGAATGTAGTTCTGCGTGCCTCTCACGCAGGCGCCACACGTGCCGCACGTGCGCTGCTGCGGCACGTGGCGCGCGTGCGTCTCGGCCACGTGTCGATCCCTGTCCTCCTCTCTGCCGAACTCCGCCAGGCACACGTCGCACACGTGCGCCGCGTGTTCGGAGGCCATCTGACAGGTCACGTGGCACGCGTCCCAGTGCTGGAGAAAGGCGTCGCGCCGGCCGGCCGTCAGCGAGCCGGCGCCGAAGCACAGCGTGCAGTGCGCCAGCTCGTACAGCTGCTTGCTGGTGACGAACTGGGTCGGGTAGCGCTCCCGCGTCTGCGGGTGCCTGCGGCAGGGGACGGCGCGCTCAGGCGGCGGCGTGGCGCCGCTGCTCAAGGGGCAGGAGGAACAGCCGGCCGACAGTACACGGCTGGGGGTGGGCGGTGCTCGCCGCACGCGGGAGGGCGTCTGTAGTCTCTCCCTCCTCCACACACACGCATAGCGTCTAAAACACACGCGGCCCGCCACGCGGAAGTCCTGAGTTCGCAAGATACGCCACGCAGAACTTTCCTCCATCCAGCAGCGTATGCCAGCGCTCCCACATCTCGCGACAGGGCAGAGCGTTGGACCGGCGCCGGCGGCGCGTTCTGCGGCCGCCGTCCGACCCTGTCCGTCCGCTCACCGAAGCCAGAGGTGCGCCATGAGGTCGGCGCGCGAGCTGAAGCCGAGTCGCGGGCAGAGGCCGCAGCCCAGCTGCGCCAGCGGGGCCGCCTCCGCGTGGTGTTCCAGCACCGGCGCCGTGCCGTCCCAGGGCAGCACCGTCGGCGCCGTACGCTCGCCGTCCGTGCTGCCGGGGCGGCGGGTCAGAGAGCGGGTCAGAGGAGGCGGCACTGGCGGCGCGGCGCAGAGGTCGGGCTTTGTGGCAGGATGACGAGCTGGGCTTCTGGTACCTGCGGTTATCGTCCGATCTCGTGATGACACTCTAGGCTGAAGGCGGCAGCGGCTGCAGATAATGCTAGATAGTGGCGGTGTGGCTTTTAGTATGCGGTGCGCACTTCTCCGCAGGTAGTCAAAATATATCACATCGCGACATTTTCCTTAAACAAAAAGGCTTCCGCCACTTGGCGCACTGGCAGGGAGACCCTCCCCGCCCGCTGTGCTGACACTAACACCCACGCCATTCACAGGTCTGACTGCTCACCGCCGCCCTCCCAGTGCCGACGCAGACCGGGCCCAGGGACCAGCGAGGTGTAGGCGGGGCCCAGCGTAGCGTGAGGTGTGGGACAGGACACAGCGTGAGGTGTGGGGCAGTACACCGCGTGAGGTGTGGGGCAGGACACTGCGCCAGGTGTGGGACAGAACACAGCGTGAGGTGTAGGACAGAACACAGCGTGAGGTGTGGGACAGAACACAGCGTGAGGTGTGGGACAGGGCACAGCGTGAGGTGTGGGGCAGGACACAGCGTGAGGTGTGGGGCGGGACGCGGCGTGAGGTGTGGGACAGGACACCCCGTGAGGTGTGGGACAGGACACCGCGTCAGGTGTGGGACAGGACACAGCGGCGTGAGGTGTGGGACAGGACACCGAGCGAGGTGTGGGACAGGACACATCGTGAGGTGTGGGACAGGACACAGCGTGAGGCGTGGGGCGGGACGCGGCGTCAGGTGTGGGACAGGACACCATGCCAGGGTGTGAGACAGGACACAGCGTGAGGTGTGGGGCGGGACGCGGCGTGAGGTGTAGGGCAGGACGCGGCGTCAGGCGCGGGGCGGGACACGGCTCGACTCACCGGACCAGAAGGCGGACGTCGTCGAGCGGCATGGGCCGGCCGCGGAACACGGCCTCGCGCCACAGCATACCGTCCAGGGCGTGTGCCACCGCGTCCTGAGGACGCCGCCCGACAGCGGGTCAGCAGGCGAGAACAATACGTCCACGGGGGAGAGCGGTGATAGCCAGACAGACGTGGCCGAGACATGATTCAAGCAAGACCTTCATCCCTGGTTTTTCGGCATCATGGGTTCGGACCTTATGTTGAGTTATTTGCCTTTGATATACCAGAAGGTACGGGTTAAGCAATGTTATACAGCAAACCTTGCTTACAAGAGAGCACTATCGAGTACAGCCAATATATAACCAAATATAATATAACCAAAGTTCGCTCTAAAACGTCGTCGAACCAATACTTACTAGTATGTATTAAAAATATACCAGGAGTACTGCTTAGACGACATCATACAGCAAATCCTGGTCAAAAGGCAGAACTATCAAATACATTCAATATCATCTAAGTTCGTTCTACAACGTTTAACCAGCACCTGCTGGTACACTGAAGGCCCATCACTCAGCACAAGACTGCCTCTGGCTTCTCAGGGCCCGTGCGCCACAGCACACAGGACTTGCGGTGACACCGGCCACGAACACGGTGTCTGACCGACGCAATCAACGCGGGTCATGCAGCACGCAGAACAGCGCGGGTATAGCACAGCTGGTCACGGCATCATCGGTACAGGCATATGGAAACCCGCGCACCTGACAGCGTGTCCACTGACACTGACACAGCGCAGCGTGTCGCAGGGGACAGTAAGGGCACTGGCGGCGCATGGTCCCGTGAACACTACACACGCGTGACATGGTCCTTCAACGCCGCCGTATCGGTCGCAGCTCAGTGCCGCTCACACCAGCAAAACGCCCGCCCACGGCCTCCACACCCATCCTTCACGAACATTGGCTCCACCTGCCCGAGCTGCAAGACCAGAACTGAGCGCACAAGGCAGAAACGAAGGGCGGCGTGCAAACAGACGACATTTACGCGCATCCGCATTATTGACTGGCGTCTGTCATGTGTCTCGCATGAACCGCGATCGCCACGCGACGCGTGCCGTGCCGCGACCAGCGCGGCCGGGGACGGCGTCCGTACCTGGGCCTTGAGCACTCCCCGGAGCCGGGGCGCGGCGCCCGGCCTCCGCTGGCGCGGCTTCCGTCTGCTGGAAGGCACGGCACAGCGACGCGTCAGAGGTCACGTGACACGGCTCGGGCTGCGCCGCGGGGACGCGGCGAAGGTCGCAGAAACACGCGCTGTGGCGTGGCGTGGCGGAAGGCTCCAGCAGAGGCGCCACCACATGACGGGGGAGGTGTGAGGGCAAACGGTAGCGGCATACAAACCGATCACTCGAGAACACATCCGTCAGGACAATGAGACGTCGAAAATCCTTCCTGCCGGAGGGCCGATGTCAAGACCCAAAGACAGAGGTCACACGGGCGACCCCGATTCACCCAGGGAGAGGGGGCGATCCAGGCCACCTCGTGCCGTCGCAGTGGCGGCGGGTGCCGACCGAGTGACCGCCTGATGCGCGAACTCACTCGTACTGCAGAGGAGCCATGTAGTCGTCGTCTCCGGGCCGCCACACGTCGAGCCTGGGGCGGGGGCGTGGCTCTCAACGGATCAGGCGAGACAGCGCGCCTCGTTCTGCTTGGCGCGCAGTTCCTTGATTCCCTTTTGCCAACGTTCTCACGTTGTTGCCATTTTGTTGTTTCGATTTAAAGGTGGGCTCACAGGCTGGCAAACCATGTCCTAAATTTAAGCACGGGCTGTGGGCGCGCCAGAACGGCACTGTCCTTCCGCCCTGGATGTGCGCAGTATTTGAAAACAGGACCGCAAGTTTTGTAAGATCTCTTTGGGGCCGATCCTTGTCGCGTGCAATCAACCCCGGTGACCCTGGCACCACCCGCAGGTTCAAAACACCACCAGCATGCAAATTCCAGTTCAAAAGATATGATTTGCCGAAAAAGTTTAATGACGCATGCGCTCCGGCACCCCGCCCCAGTCAGATGCCAATTCGGCACCAAGTTGACATTGCCGGCTAACTCTCGAAGACGGGCACATAAGTGCAGTTGCTGGAACACAAGCCACAATATGTATGCTACCAAATGATACGAGTGCCTGACGCTCTAGCAACTGAAACACAGGCAGAAAGACGACAAAAGCAATACTAACCCGTCTTCGTTTTTGATCTGGAGTTTTCGGGCCGCCACTCTCATCTGGGCGTCCCCTGAAAACGTGCCACGGGGCACGTGCACACGCGGTTAAAAACACCCCACGGCAACTGACTGAAAGCCACGCGAGCACGTTGATAAAATATTAAATCTACCCTAACATAGCGACTGAAATCAATCGTGGAATACGTCAACGGTGGCAGACGATTAATTTTTGATCAGCTGAAAGAAATTGGTCAGGACCTTCATGAGCGGCCCGCAAAATCAAAGCATGCAATCCACTCTTTGCGCTTGTGAAACACTTTCACGCAGCTGAAACATAGTGAATTATTCATTGGGAAGGAGCCATGATAGAACATCCAACAATTCAAAACAGACAGCCCAGAGCTTAAAGCACAGAGCCCCTCTCCCCTTAAAACAAGGAAGTCGTTCCTGGCCAGCCATTTAATTAACGCGCATGCCAGCCCTTTGTTCGGCACATCCGTTCCACCAGACCGATCCGACTATGCGTCCTGTCCGCTCCATCCGTTCTGGGCGTCCGTTCCGGCCGCTCCGGCCGTTCCGTACCGCCTCTGTGCATCTGATCCGCCCGGTGGATCACGATGAAGGAGCTGGCGCCGACCGGCTCCGGCTCCGGCTCCGGCTCCCGCGCCGGTTCCACATCAGGCTGGACTGACGGTGATTCGCTCAGGTCGATGCCCCTGTCAAGAGCAAGGTTAAGACTCATGAGAAACATTGGGGTCCAGGCTGCCTTGGTGCAGAGAGGGAAGAGGTCAGGAACATGGGGTTGGGTATAAAGCTAAGCATGGGAGGAACATATGGCATGCACAGGGTCAAGTCCATACCCTGCACAGGGATAGGATGCAGAAAACAATCAGCCATGTCAATCCCATGTGAAGGGGGAGACGCAAGGAACACGGTAAGGCATATCACCCTGAGGCAAGGGTGCTTAAATAAGCACCAGGCCATGCCCTGTGAAGAGGATACAGATAAAAATCACAGGTAGTTGATTCTACTGGAAAGGCAGGGATGTCCAGAGTGAGCCACAGTGTAGGGATGCAGGGAAGTCAGAGCTTGGTATATATTAAATATTGGGCAAATGTTGGGAAGTGTTAGAAAATGTGCTAGCTTGATCAGTTTGACACAGCAGGTGACAAACACAGTGAGATAATACTGGAGAAATACCCTTATTCCTTAAAGAAGAACCAGGATGGAGGCAGAGAAGGCAGAAGTGATGACAGGAGATATAGGTGTATTCATATTTTGAAAACATGCCTTTATGAATGACAGAACTGAACAAAACTAATCTAATCTCTGGGTTTTTATCCAAGGAATTAGACTAATGCTACTGCATATGCAATGAACATTATCTATGTGAATAATGTTCCTAGTTTACACAATTAACAGCAAACATGGTCAGGCTTAAATTCACTGCACACAACCCTATGTGACACTTATCAATATCTAATCCACCACAGTACACACTGCTCTGCCAACAAATAGTCCATACTTACTGAGCATCAACAAAGAATGACATCAGCCTAATGAGCATGTCACTGTCCCCTGCAATTCCAACTGCTTCCTTCAGTTGATGCCATGTTTTGACATTCTTTCCAAGGAGAATATCCAAAGGCAACATGTTTTTTCTCAGCATGGCACTCTCGTTTGTATCATTATTTGTCTCAATGGTAGCATTTTTCATTCCTGACATGATAACTTATTTATTCCATTGGCAAAATTCGAGCAGCTGCGAGCTGGGCTGACCAAATTAATAAAACTTCACCTAGCTTACGCAATTACAGTCTGCTGCACCCAAGTGAGCTGAACTGAGAGAAAAGGACGCCTAAGCGGCACCGTCAGTATATTTACAAGCGGCTAGTCAATGATCAACTGACAATAACATTTCGTTTTAAAGCCATTCTAAGTGGGTAATATCAAGAATTCATCGAGTTGAACTTTGTTTTACAAGGTCATGCAAAATAAGGTATTGATGTCAATTGATGACGTCTCAAGATTTTATTCCTAAATTTAAATAAAAAATTTGAATATGCTATAAAATTTCAAAAATTATATTAACAACAAAATCTTTAAAATTTTTAAGTAAGCTATTTTAACTTTATAATCTTCAGTTTTAAGGTCATTATAGTATATGACGTCAGAACATTGCCATAGTTCTCTGCATTTTTCAGGCAATTCTGGCGCAGTAGTTGCAAAGTTCGTGAGCGCTCTTAGAATTGGGAAAATTGCGAATTGTTAAGAAGAGTACTGCGAGTTATTCGCGCGGGAGCAGGCGCTGTGTGAGGTCGTTGAACACTTCTGTTGCGTAACTCCTTGCTTTTAATATGATACTGCTGGGTTCGAAAGCCTCACAGCTGGTCCAGTGCGCTTTGCGACTGTCCCGTCCAAGCATGCTTGGTTCAGCAGTGAGCAAATTCCACGGGTCAAGCTGCAGGCAAGACATCTTCAACATTCAGGACAAGGACGACTTCGAAGAGCGTGTACTCAAGAGCGGCAAGCCAGTTCTAATTGATTTCCATGCAAAGTAAGATCTTAGCTGGAATCCGTTAGTGTTTGTGTCATGTTTGGTGCAGCAGCATGCAAGATAAAATGTACAAACCTTGTCATTTTTTCCCACCTACATCTGTGGTTTGTGTTTATTGTAGTGAGCTAGGTTTTCCTTTTTAGGCTGCATGCTTGGTGCTCAATATGTCTCACATTATCAGCAAGTGCTGCAGTGAAATCCTTACCAGTTTAGGAGGATGGCCATACCATTATAGTATATACCAGGTTGTGCTACAACTTAGGCCATTGGGACATAAGATTTTTGAACAGGAGTCTGGTGAAATGAGCTGATAAAATTATTCACCATTTTGACATTGGCCCCTGATCTATGACTATTCTAATTTTGAATGCATCTCATGTTAATAAAGATGGGTTTTATTCATGGTCTCTGACACCACAAGCTGCTTGTGGTGGTCAGTGTCACATTTTTCTGTTGTTGTTCAGGCTTAAAGAACAGAAGTATTTTCTGAGGAAAAATGCATTTAAAACCTGCAGCCTAACACAAACAGCATGCAATTTCTTAAGAATGCATAAATTGTTTGTTACCCTGGATGTCTTTTTTGGGCCAATGATAATTGTTATGCCATCGCAGGAGTATGAAAAAATGAGACAGCCCCTAACTGTCTCAAAATTTGATATTGCCCTTTTGGACACTGACTGGAAATAAATGACTGAAGCAGACTTCCACTGCCCTTGTGTCATTAGATGTGCCTTATAAAAATTGATGGCATCAAAGGAATGATGGCTGGGTGTTCCATTTGGAAAACTGACATCAAATAAATAGGTATATTGTGATGCTTGATGCTATTGTGTTCTTTAGTGATCTTGAGATGATGTTCACAAATAACTGAAACCACTTGTTTGGCAGTTGTACTCTCATTTGATCACTTCTTCAAAGCTATGCCATCCTGTATTTTTATTCTCTCAAGGTCAATAGACATCATACAAGCTAATGATATTAACCATGCAGGCAAATCATGGCTGTCTGGAGTGTGGAATGATATATGTAGGCTAGGTTTCTGCACTCCAGGTTTCTAAGACCACATCTCTATTCAATAAGTTCAACTTGTTATAGGGTAAACCTAGGAGCATCTTTGGATGTTTTGTCTGTTTGAGTGTTTCATTCTCTGACACTAAATGCATGTCTCTCCAAAGGTGGTGTAATCCCTGCAAGCAGCTGACCCCGAGGCTGGAGGAGGCCCTGCAGCAGTTCAAAGATGATGTTCACCTGGCAAAGGTGGACATTGATGACAATGATGATCTGGCAATGGATTATCAGGTGGGAATGATGACCTGGCAATGGATTATCAGGTGGGAATGATGACCTGGCAATGGATTATCAGGTGGGAATGATGACCTGACAAAGAATTACCAGATTGGAATGATGACCTGGCAATGGATTATCAGGTCAGAAAAGTGGTCTTGCTCATTTGCTCAGTTCTTGATCAGAACATCTTGGGCTTTTACTTGCCCTACACTCTTGCAGTCTCCAATGGTCCACTTCTACTAACACCAGCCTGGTAGTTGCTTGGCCAAGCAAGAAAGAGTTGCTTGGTGGCTGGTGAGCTGACACTGCTTCCCACTGCCTTGCTGATGTGTGAAATGCAATACAGTGGACATCACACAAGCACACATGTTGCATGCACACATGCACACACCCTTATTCATGCCATCTTGTATGAAAAGTGAGCATGATGTGCACCACATGCCTGCCCACATGACATGCATGCACACATGCATGCATTCATGTAGGCAGGCAGACAGTGGTGAGGTTATGTGGTACATTGGTCATGTATCATTTGTATTATAATGTTTTAAAGATGGAAAGCACAAAAGGACATTAGTGCATGTTGTCTTGAAGGAGGGATAACTTATGATGGAAGTATTGGTACTTACCATTGCATGTTACTTGGCCCTTACATTTACACTATGGCACTTCCAACACAAAAGGCTGCAAAGCATTGGTCGACCTGCCCTCCATGTTGCCAGATGCCATACTGTCATACATCATGTCATTTCACGTCATACCTGGTGTTGCCAGGTGAGCGCCGTGCCTGTGGTATTCGCCATCAAGGGTGGCAAGGTGGCCGACAAGTTCATCGGCCTTCAGGACTCCGACCGGATCACCTCCTTCATCCGCGGGCTGGTCGACAAGTAACTGGCGTCGCCCGCCTGACGTCATACGTGACGTCACCGAGACGTCACCGCGGCGGCGTGTGAGATGCGGGTACCCGGGTGGCACTGGTAGGACGGCTGGCTGAGGGACGCCGACTCTGCCGTTCTCGGCGATCTGGATGCCGATGCCTGACTGAGTGAGACGATGTACTCTGCGGGGAGCGTGTGTTGCCGGCGTCCCTCGTCACGTCGCGAAGCGAGGGCGCGTGTAGGCTGCGGGTGATTGGTAGAAGTGACGGAATGACGGAGTGACGCGTCACGGACGGCGGCGGGGCGCGTCACGTGGTGCGCACGGCGGCGTCACGTCGGCGGGGGGACTTTACACAGTTGACGTGGTAGTCCCCGGTTGACCACGCGATGCGGTGGCCTGGCCGGCCCGCGCATGCGCTGGTGGACGGCGTGCTGTTGTCGAGCCGCCGCCGCCGTCTGGCGAACGTCTCCCACTCAGGACCACGGACGAGCTTGGCGCGGCCGCGGCTCTGGCTTTGGTCGTGCTCCGGCGCGGGCCGCCCCGCGGCTTTGGCTGCCTGCTGGTGCGCTGCGAGTGTCGGGGCTGGACGGAGCGACGGGCGGGTCTCGTTCGCCGCACTCTCTGGGCCTCCCGGGCCGTGTCGCCGCGGCGGGACGTGCGGTGCGCCGCGGTGCCGCCTGTTCTGGCCCCCGATGCTTCGACGGCCGATCGCAGGCTAGAACAGAGCCGGGCGGTGGTGGATACCTGCATGTTGATGTGGCCGGCTGTTGCGTATGTGTTAACGTGCGAGGATGCTGTGTCCGGAGTGGTGATCGTCCTTTTGGGGATAATATGACCGGCGAGGACACTCCGGCCTGGTGCTCGTGTTATCAACTGCCGGCAGGTGCCGAGTGAGGTGGCACTGGGCGGTCGTCTGAGCTGTACTGAAGTGGGGTGGAGTGAATGATGTGGCGGAGGCGTCGTGCGGCCAAATCAAAATGGCCGCATGGGCGCCTCCACGGCTTAGATAATGGCGGGCGATGTATGCAGGCATGGTGTGCTATAGAAACGCTGTCTGAAGCTCCCGAAACTTGAATACTTTCCCATTGCATCGTCCGGATCAGTGGCGCTCAACTCATTCGATACGATGGATACAAATATTCAAGCTTGATCCGACAGGCCGCAAGGAATCGATTGGTGTCCGTCAGTTGATCCGACTTCCATCGGGACTATGCTGCCATCTGTAGCGAAGTTCATACGATACTAGCGCCACCATGATCGGTTTTCGGCACGGACGAGGCCGTGCAGTGCGAGATCGCCCACTGACATCCATGACTAAAAACCTGACTTTCCCCATCTTTCCGCTCCAAGACCTGTTGGAACCATTGCGAAATTTTCGTACGTTTTAATTTGTGGACTTCCGTCCCAGGGCCGGTAGCCCGCTTGATACAATGGCGTATCGCATTCTGACCCGCGAAAAAACTTCGACTTCTATGCAGGTTGATGAGATTGGCGGGCAGCACCAACTAGAGATCATTGTGTTCGTTTTCCCACAAGAGCGCTAGCATTTCGCGACGGTGCCCGGTCAGCGCTATTTTCTGCGCAGGTTTGGCAATCCAAGGATTACCGCTAAGTTTCACGCTGACCTGAAATGGGTACCATTCGCAATGGAGCTTAATTCTTCGAATCGGCCATGCTGGATGACGGCTCACCATGCACATACATGCCATCACATGCACATACTTTCGTCGGGATTCTTCACTCACGCACTCCTCGACGCCAACTGCAAAACAGGCAGCACGCTTCATTTTTTATTACGTATGACTCATGTATGACAGATGACTTTCTGTCTTTATTTGAATGACAAAGTGATCCGCCACTTTCTGCGCCGCTAGATGAGATCCGCACCTACATCGGCAAACGCCGCGCCAGAGCTCCTGACGGACGTGCCACGCTATATCAAACCATGATCAACACAAGCCGGATGATATATACACTGATCTTTGACTTTGTACACTTCTCACGCACCCGCGCGCGCTTACGCCTTCTTCGCTGCCTTCTTGGGGCTCTTCTTCTTCGCCGGAGCCTTCTTGGCGGCGGGCTTCTTCGGGGTTTTCTTGACCTTCTTTGGAGACTTCGCCTTCTTGGCGGCGGCCGGTGCAGCCTTCTTCTTCGGCGTCTTCGCCTTCTTGACCTTCTTCACGGCCGCCTTCTTGGCTGGCGACTTGACCTTCTTGGGCTTGGGCGCGGCGGCTGCGGCTCCGGCCTTCTCCTTGGAAGCCAGGCGGTACCGGCCGGAAAGCAGACGGGCCTCGGCTTGACCCTTGGGCCGGGTTAGCTTGCCGGAGGCGAGACCGGCCTCGAAGGCGCGCCGCAGCATGTGCCGCAACATTACCGGCTGCACCTTGTACTGCGCCAGAATGTACTTCTTGATTGCCATCACTGAGACGCCCTTGGGATCCTTCTCGGCAGAGATCGCCTTGGCGATCATCTCCAACGTGGGCGGGTGTGACGGCTTGCTGGCCTTCTTCTTCGCACCTCCCTCCTTGGGCTTGCGTCCCTTCTTCGCGGGTGTCACCACGGGAGCAGCGGCGTCGTCAGCCATCGTTGCGAACGGAACGCGCGGTCACCCCTCCGCTGCTGCCAAACTACGTTTACGCCGCCGAGCGAGCGTTCGCCCTTATATAAACTCTCCGACGACCGTACCGTACGCCATTCGATCGCGGCGGCTTGGCCCCGACCAGCTGAGCGGGCCGCCGTGCGATTGTGTTTGTGTTTGCGGAAAAATGCAAATTTAGGGGTGTTAGGGCACGGATGCAAGTTTTTGATGTCCTAGATTTATTGCCAGGATATTCAGGTGTGTTGCAATGAAATTTACACCCCACCGAGCGTGTAATTTGATAGTATTACCACATAAACACGACAGGTTACCCACTGGAAAATCGTAGCCTTTAAAAACCGGCTCAAAATTAACATTTCGGAGCATGTTATTACAAATTACACGACACCATATGACAGGACAAATATCCAGCTACAAGATGATCAATTATCGAAATATTTCACCACCTAAGTCTTCGCGTACACGCGTTTACATTAGCCGCCTCACAAGCACACTCTGCCTGATTTTGAGGGTGTTCAGTTGGAGTCTATCCAAAGTGGTAAGTGCGAATATTTCCGATACCGCGCAAGACTGCCGCTTACTTTGTGCACCATTCGAAAGATCTCGATGACACCTATCGATTGATATGTTTTGATGTCTGGTTTGATGATAAACCTTTGGCGAAACGTCCCAAATAGTCGTCGATGCTTGTGATGCTGGGAGTGGGGACGGACCGCTGGCGCGGTGACGTAGGCTCGGTCTCAATCCTGAAATTTACGCATCGATATCAGACGAAATCGGTGACTATGTGAATATTGAGTGGAACCATTCGATTCAGCTCATTCAGGGCTCCATTTTGAGCATAAGCTCATGTCGAATGATCATCGCGTGAGCTTTTGCGAGGGAGCTTTCCCCGCCATTGGAAATACACGCAGCCGACGGTCGGTCATCCGGCGCTATTTGCAGAAGCAAGTCGCAATATAGAATCGGGCAGTGCGGAACTTTGAATGCGTCATTTGCCGAAGGAGTTCTGGTCCTTTGAAAGCTCTAATAATAAAAGAGCTGTTTCCTTTGGCGAGCACTATCGTCCTGGTGTCTGATGGAGCTGTACAGTGGGGTGTGGCGACGGACTGGCCCTCGCCTGGCTGCGTGTCCGCCATTCGGGGATCAGAACGGGCGGCGATACCGAGCCACGGGAGCTGCGACAGCAGACCAGGCACGACCGAGCTATTCCCGGGCTGGGGTGGTGATCAGATGAGGTAGACATATCACCATAATCTAGCCCCCACTTGGCTTCCCCTTGGATGCACGGACTCTAAGGCAGCGCGGCGTTTTCGGCGCCATGTTGCGGCGGGCACAGCCCGTTTACCGCGGGGCGCGCGCGGGGGGGGGGGGGACTGACAGGTGCCCGGTCCCCCTCCTGTGCCATTTTGAATCTGTCGAGGAAAGACGCGACAAGGGGGACTGAGCCGCGACCGCACCGCGACCACGTGGCACGTGCAGGTCATGCCATGTGGTTCTGTTCAGGAGTCCGCCCGTACAGGAGAAAGTCACACCCGCGACAGCAGCGGCCATTGGCCGACGCTGGTGCACGGTCAACTTGTGAGGCTGGTGACACGCGTCAGGCTTCATTATACGTTGAAATCGACGTGTGATGAAAATGAGCGGGCGAGCTTAGCAACAAACAGTGTCAGCTAGCATATGCCGGCCATCCGCCTGGCTCATTCCGCGGAGGTAACGGATCTTGCGCGCAATTTGACCCAGGTGTGGTTTGGGTATTCAGCGCCTGCGGGTTTCTAAGAGAAATTCAGCGATGCCGCTGAAATGCGTAGGAGATACAGTTGTATAATCTCAGGGCACCAGCAGTCGTTGTTCATTGATTGTTAAATATTTTAACCTCACACACCGAAGCCAAACCCGTAAGTTAAGTGCATTTGCGAGGAACACTATGCACCTACGTAGGGCAGAAGCAACAGCTTTATTCTTTGGAGAAAAACCAGGAGAACGGGGATATAGATGCGTTAACATCTTGGCTTCAGCTATTCGTTTCGATGAAGCCAAACCCGTCAAATCTGGTAAACATCTCCTGCGCATTGATGAAGATGAACTTTCAAAAAAGCGCCGGTGGCTCGGTGGCACGTCGGTAGCTTTCTTTTTCGGAACGAGTCAGTCGGCTGGTGCGTCATTGTACGGTGTTTCTCTTCGGGCACACGCATGCATGCACACCAGTGTCCACTTGCGCAGGTGGCTCCATATAAAACGGCATAACACATCCACTTGAGGAAGAGACTTAAGGACTCTTCTCCGGTTGATATGAAGACGATGTTCTGTTGTCGTCCTGAAAGATCCTTTCTCGTCCGCTTGCGGCTTTGTTAAGCTTTCAAGTCGCCCATCTCCTGACCAGAGGCGAAATTTACAGAAAAAACGCTGAAAATTCCGACCGGATCTGCACGCAAGTTGTTTGCATGCAGCACCATAGGCTCGAACACAACTTTCTGCTGGGATGCAGCTGCGCCTCCACTGAATAGCAAAGTTCTGCCAATCACGAGATCAATTCTACCGAAGCATACACATTCCGTCTTCTCAGAAAGCACGTCGGCAGGGGAAAGACAATGAGCGCTTTACCCTCCCTAGCCCATACTTTACACCCGATCAATCCGTGAGCATTTCCGAAATTCGGGAACAATAAGAGTAAGTTCGTGTTTTTTTTTCTTCTCCGCAATGATTCTTCCTCAGTCCAAGTTTGTGTCCTTTTAGCAAAACATCCCTTGCGCCGCCATTACTAACGGACTCCGAGCTCACGACTCTACAGCTATCTGCCAGCCCTGTTGCTTGCCGTGTGTCTTGTCTGCAGTAAGACAATTTCTGGCCTTAGATGTCCACTTTCACCCCGTCCACTAACATGGCTTTTAACAAAGTTTTTTTGTTGTATACTTTGCAGCCCGAAGTAAATGCAACATTTCACATTCGAATACCATGGGAAATATGACATTGGTTTATTTGTGGAAAAGTTCCACGATGTGTGTCGATGCCGGGCTTTGATGTCAACGCCCGGCTATCGCAGTAGCATCAGGCAAATGCCATTTGACGGAAAAGAGGACGAAAACCGTACCAGCAAAACCGTACTTTCGTCTGCGGCCGCTTTCATTTAGATTTCAGTTTTACTGCAGAATTGTTCATCTTTCTCATAAGAGTACAGTGACATTGTGTAATATCTTACGGTGGCTTAGCTGCACCGTCGCCAGGCTTGCCGTCGCCGTACCTTTTTTGTCATCCACTCAAGCGTGGCGGTGCTTTCGCTCCAGCAATGTGATGCAACATTGCCTTGTCCAGTCGTTGTCTCGTTGTCCGGGTGGCTGCGTATTGGCGTCATCGGCGTGCCGCGAGATGACGCTCTAGGTGCTGACGACGCTGACTACGCGGCGTCGGATTCATGCCACCCGTGCATTTTCTGATGTGTGTATCATCCTGCACCTTATGCGTCTGGTCCTGTACAGCATCTACTTAGCTTTTTCTACGCTTAGGTGCACAAGTTTGCGTGATCAACGTGGATTCGCAGAAACCGTTTTCAATACCAGGCAAAATGTCCTGCTGCGTGTTGGGGAATGCGTGACGAGAAGAAGCCCAGGAATGCTGCAGTACCAACGAAGTTTACATGCGTGAACTCTGTACGGGATACACACTCACGGTACACTCAGTCCACATGTAAGTAAAAGCGTGCATGTAAATAATGGTCAAAATTCAGTTCATTCCAATCTCACGTATTTAAAACATGACGTTCAGCCCTTGTAAAAATATTAATTCGCATCACATCCGGCACAGAAAAGCAACATATGTTCACGATCGATATTACCTCACACGTCAGCCACGGCTACTCTCTTCACGTTGACAGTAGCCCTGCATCGTGGTCAAAATGTGGAAAAGCCGATTTGCCAAAATAGTAGCGAATGTAGCCCAGCCGGGATTTGCTTGCGTATTTGCCCTGCACAGAAAATAAGTCATGTCCACCACTAAACAGCACCCAACCGTGGTATTTGGGTTAGTCATTAATAACGTAAACAAAATGGGATGAACGGCATCTGTATTGCAAATCATAAACATCTCGCAACAACCTAAAAGATACTCCGTAGTGCGAAAGCCCTGCTCCTACGGACAGACCTAGTCGCTAGACGTTGAGTCGTGCATAAATCGTTGGTATTCCCCCAATTTGGGTTCAAAACTCTGCAGGTGAGCAGTGCACAAAGTACATGTGTACAAAGTACGTTAACATTGCTGGATTTCGTGTGAGAAGGCTTGACATATGTATTGTGTAAATGGTACTGAGTTAAGTATGTTGAACACCTTTGTGTTTCACTTTCGGAATGTAGCTTAAGTAAAGTAACCCGTACAGTCTAAATGTACTTGCATATGCCTCTGGGGCTGCAGGCATTGTACTCCAATATAAGGTTACACAGTGCTACATTTCTTCCCTCACCGCCGCCTTTCAAAGCAAACGGCGGTTGTCATGTTTGCGCCAAATGCATATACTAACAAATACAGGTCCCCTAAAAAATCGACAGTTTGCATGTCCTTTCTATCATATGGCATAGCACGTACCGAACGAATCGCACCGTTGCGCAGGTCACCTCGAATCGACGAATAAAGCCAGGGTGAGTATTGTTCCCATCAACTGAAATGCTTAGGCCGAGTTCATTCCATTCCAATACTGTCGTTTAAACGCAAAAGTGCCTAAGTGTTATGTTAACTAATGGTTCTCAGGCCGTTCTGCCTTTGGAAGGCAGAATACGCTGGAGCCGGTCAATTTTTTAACGTTTCTTGACGCCTCTTCATTCCTTCCGCGGCCCTCAGTTGTCAACGGCCGGGTCGCTTATGACTGTACTCATGTATCTGTGCAGGGCATATAGTTTAAACCATTGCGCCATTTCACAACACCTGTAAATTGTAATGTTTATGCCGCCAGCAACAGTGTCATCAGGTGAGCGATGAGGCTGTGTCCCCCGAGGACG